CTTAAAACCAGTTCATTCTAATTTAGAATAATTAGTTGCTCACACTTACAGATAGTATGTTGAGAATAGTTTTCAAAGAGCCTCTAATTTATGATTTGATTTTTCCCAGTTTGTTTTTGAAAACAGGTGTTAGGATTTCTAATGAAATTCACTTGGTTCAGCTCAGTCTTACTTTTAAAAATGGAAAGGTGCTAGAGGCAGACGATCACTTTAATGACAAAGACAAAGGCATCAATTCATACTGCATGAGAAAAGGCAATAGTAAATACTTTTGTATATTTACTAAGAAAACCATATGGATAGAATATATAAAATGCCTGATGATATAATGCCATATGATGGGTCCCTCAGGCTGGATGGCACTCAACCTGCCACTTAGGAACAGCTGAGGATCTTTCAGAGAACTAATGGTGCTTATGATGTAGTTAGATTAAACCTTTGGGACATCAAGTTTCCATTCAGGAAAAGAAAATATGTACCTGCAAAGACAGAACTACAGCAGGAATATGGAATCTAAAAAGCATTAAAATGGGAAAGCTTAACATGGTGAAAGATGAAATGAGTACAAATTGATATCTTGGGCATTAGTGAATCGAGATGGATTGGGATTGGACTCTTTCATTTAGGTTACACTGTTTATTACTCAGGTCATGAAAAACAAAGAAGTGTTGCTTTTATAATTAGGAAAGATATAGCAAGAGCAGTACTTGACTACAATGCAATCAATGACAGAATAATATTGATTAGACATTGTGACCAACCGTTCAGTCATTCAAGTTTATGCTCCAACCATCAATGCAGAAAAAGAAGAGGTTGATTAGTTTTATGAAATTCAGATTGAAATCAATAGACTACGCAAGCAAGGGGTGCCGCTTGTGATTGGAGACTGTAATGACAAAGTTGGAAACATGAAAGAGGAAAATGTAGTTGGATTGTATCACATAGCAAACCAAAATGAAGCAAGAGTCTGACTTATCAATTTTTGCTATAGCAACTATTTCTTCATAACTAACATTATCTTCAAACAATCAAAATAATACATCTATACATGGATAACACCTGATGGAGAAATATAAAGAAAATGGAGGAACTCAATTATAGTATCAAATATATGTGATCAGATGCTGACTGTGGAAGAGATCGTGAACTGCTTACATGAAATTTCAAGTTAAGTTAACTAAGAAGAAAGCCAGTCATTTTCCACAATTGAGCATTTACCCACCATTTTCAAGGAGACCATCAGAAACTGCTTTGAAGTCCCAAATTTCATTGACAAAGAACCAAAATAATTACAGAATTAATTTAAAGAAGTTGTTAAGGATGAACATAAAAAGGACTGCCAAAAATGAAAAAAAGAAAGCAAATTGGATGTCAGAACAAACTATGGAAATTGCCAAGAAGAGAAGAAAAGCCAAGGTCAAAAAAGACAAAAATCTTTCACACCGCTGTTAGAAGAGATAAGAAGTAGTATTACAACATGTGTAAAGACATTGATATGGAAAAACAAGGATAATCTTCCAAAAGATCTCTCAACTCAGAAGGAGTTCCAACTTTGAATTAGTATGCTAAAGAATGTCAATGGACAAATGGTAACCAATTCAAAGGAAATAAAACTAAGATGGAAGGAATATATTGAAACACTGTACATCAGTGTCAACATCCAAGGTACCTGAGAAGATATTCCTTACTTGCAAGAAAATCTCTAATACTAGAAGATGAAGTTACATCAGCATTCCAAGCTTTATCAAGTTGAAAGCTCCAGGAATTACGAGAATACCCCCCAAAAATATGGTAAGCCACAGAAAAAGAATCATAATAGATCCGAGAACAACACAGTGGCCAACAAATTGGAAGAGGTGCTACACCCCAGTTCTAAAAGAAAGGAAAGTTAAGAGAGTGTGTCAACTATTCTATAAAATCCTTAATTTTCCATGCTTACAAAATAATGCTTAGGATCATCCAATGCAAATTAGAATCTATATGGAAAAGAGATGCCAGATGTTCAAGCTGGCTTTACAAAAAATTGAAGAACAAGAGATGTTATTGCTGATGCATGCTGAATAATTGAGAAAGCCAAAGAATACCAAAAGAAATTATTAAACACTTCAATGACTATACAAAGGCCTTTGATTCTGTTGATCATGTCAAACTGTGAAAGGTACTCACAAAAATTGCCAACCCAGAACATCTCATTATCCTAATGAGAAATTTATATATAGGCCAGGAAGCCATAGTATGGTGTAAAAAAACTAGCTCCAGGTTGGGAAAGAAGTGTCACTGGGCTATTTTCTATCCTTTTATTTATTCAACCTATATGCCAAATGTATATTAAAACAAACTGGATTGGAAGAAAGAGTATGGTTTTAAATTGGAAGAATCAATAACTTGCACTATGCTGATGACACTACCTTGATAGCTGAAAATGCAAAAGATCTGGATGGTCTAATAATAAACATTAAGGAACAAAATGAAAAAATTAAATATTAAGATCCAAACTGAAGACAGATAGAATGATCAGTCTTAACTTAAATGAAGATATTGAAATGGTGGCTAGTTTCTGCCATTTAGGATCAATCATCAACAGATGTTAAGCTAAGCCCAAAGACAACACATGAGATTCAATTGAGCAATTCTTTATTTGCTTACACCTAACAAACAGAATCTTACCAAACTAAAGCTATAACCTTCTACTAATAGATCAGACTGGGCATTTTACAGCTTATGAGCCACATCTGGCCCATAAGCTGTCCTTGTCTGGCCCACAGCATTGGTGGGGTGTGTGTGACATCATTGCTGGTGGGAGGCATGGTGGTAGCAGGGATGTGGGGGTGCCAGCAGCCCTCCACAAGAGTTTCTCATGTGGCCCCTTGGGAAAATTAATTGCTTATCCCTGTAATAGATGTACCCTGGGAGATTCTAGAGTGTGGTTATCCTGAACCTTTTCCTCCTTCCTCTACTCGATTCAAGACTGCATAGTCTCTTGCCTTGGCCCCCTGTCTAGAATATGCTGCCTCCTCCCTCGGAATCCACAGTGCTACTGCCAATAGTTCCTCCCACCCACCCACACTCCTTTAGCTGCATATTCCATCACAATAGTGAAAAACAAGCAGTCAAAAAAATTCGCCATACACTAGCACACAGGTCGGCAACCTGCGGCTCCGGAGCCACATGCAGCTCTTTGAGCCTTCCCCTATGGCTCCCAGCCTCCTCTGCCATTTGCAGAGAGAGACAGAGACAGAGAGAGGCACTTGCGCTTCCCTGCTTCTCTCTCTGTCTCTGTTTGTTTGTGTGTGTGTGTGTGTGTGTGTGTGTGTGTGTGTGTGTGTGTGTAAAAGAGAGTGGACTCACGGTGTTCTCCGACAAGCTGAAAAGCTTACTGGGCATGGCTCCTCCCTTTGCTGCACCTCTGCAGGAAGCAGGAAGCAGGAAGGGCAGAGAGAGCTAGCTAGCCCAGCTATGATGACTCGGGAATTCTGGGAATTGAAGTCCATGAGTCATAAAAGCCAAGGTTGCCTACCCCTGAGCTTGTTGGAGAACAGCTTAAAGCCAGCTTGCCAGGTGAGCAGAAGATCGGAGAGAGGGAGAAAGAGGGGGGAGAAAAAGAGAGAGAGAAAGAGAGAGGGAGGGAGAGAGAGAGAGGAAAGAGAGAGAGAAAGAAAAAGTGGGGGAAGACGACTGGCAGACCAAGGGCAGAAAGAGAGAGAGGGAGGGAGAGAGAGACAGAGAGAGAGACCCTTTTGACATCTAAAATGAAGATAACACTGCATCATATATCTTTTTATCTTTATGATATATATATGTGTGTGTGTGTGTGTGTGTGTGTGTGTATGTGTGTATATATGTATGTATATGTATATATATATAAAGGTAAAAAAGGATATATGCAGTGTTATCTTCATTTTAGATATCAAAAGGGTTTTGTGGCTCCCAGTGTTTTGTTTTCGGTGGGAAACGGATCCAAGTGGCTCTTTGTGTTTTGGGTTGCCTACCCCTGCACTAGCCAATGGTAGACACTTGGAAATGTTATTGAAATACTCTGCTTTATCTAAATGTATAAAGATCAGAATTGTGCAAACCATGGTATTCACCATAGCACTGTACAAAAGTAAAAGTTGAACTTCGAAGAAGCAGGATACAAAGAGTATTGATGTCTTTGGACTGCGAATACCATGGACAGCCAAGACAGCAACAAAATGAATCATCAAACGTATCAGTCCAGTTTTCATGAGGCACAAATGCTCAGACTCACATTATCCTATTTTGGGTATATTATGCAATGATATAACTCTCTGAAGAACACTCTAATGTGGAGAAAGTTAGAACAAAAAAGTACAACCAGAAGCAAGGTGGATGGATTCAGTTACAATGCTCTCATCACTATTGTACCTTGTTAAAGTGGTGATGAGTGCTTTGTCAGAAGTTGTGAAAGATCAGATTAGAGATGGATTATGATGAAGAAAATTTACCCATGTTGAAGAGTTGAAAACAACTTGTTGACACAATCAGTGTTCTTATAAATAAAAACATTCTATGGATTACACAATTATTTTAAAGTCTCTGTATGAATGTGATTCAGTGAAACCTAAAGGGGGTAAAAAGGGAGAGTATCCATTATTTCCAAAACACTAGTAAATTGATGAATATGCTAGAATGATTATTCAAATAATGCACATTACACCATTTGAATCATTGCATCATTTGTGTAATAACACTCCTACCTAATGTTGTATATTACAAAAATAATATTTTGTTGTATGCAAATCTATTGCATCAAGGTCTGGAAAATCTAGAGTTTATTATATATGAATCTTTAGAAATGTTTCTCCCATTTCTCCACATTAGAGCTTACAGTTTAAACTCTGGAACTGAACAATAATTGTAGCATAAATGGCTTAAAATAGCTCTAGATCAAAGATAATAGATTCCTCTTGATACTTTAACTTAAAACCAAGCAAAATACATAAGTACCAATGTTCCCCCACCCACTATCTGTTACTCACCTCTCTTGCAACTTTTTTAACTTTTCAGGGTCTGTTTCAGCTTTATTAATATCTTTGGTAGTTACTGAATTACACATAGTAGTATTGCTTATATAGTTGCTTTGATTTCGCAAATCAGATACTGTCAGGAAAATTGGAACTTGGTCAGGTAAAGGACCAGTCATGTGAAGATGTGCTGTGAAATTTGTCCGAAAAAGAGATGGTGGAGAAGAATCTGTAGATGATGAGGAACTGTGTGAATTCAGAAAGTTGTCTTCATCATGAGAAGCAATGCTTGGAGATATGCTACTTAGACCATTGCTTATAGTGTCATCAAGCAGATTGCTATCATCAAAGTGGCTGACTGTGGGTGATGAAGATTGGCAACTTTCAGCACCTGAAAAGGAATCCCTGATTCTTATGGGAGATAGTTGTCTGCGAGCAGTTAGTCTTGGATTTCCATTCAGTTCTGTGATTTGCACAGAACTTGTAGCAACATCCACATTGCCTACCATGTCACTTCTATTTGCAGTTTGTACTAAGGTTCCCGGGATATTAAGTGTAGAATGCACAGAAGGCCTTTGCATTGTTGATCTAGCAGAAATAAAACCAGCATAACATCTTTGATTGCTCTCAAAACTCTGTCTTTCTCTGTCATAGACATTGCTCCCTTGCCAGTCTTCAGGAGAATTTAAGTTACCAGGAGCCTCAATAGTTGCTGCACTTTCTGGTCCGTTTTCAGCTTGTGGTCTTTTTGTATTAAAGTGCAAATGTTCACTTTCATTTTTATGAGCCTCTTCCAAAAGGTTTTCTTCAAGAGAATAAGATTTTTTTTGATCTCTTACTTTTCTTTGACCTACTGAATGTGAATCCACTATTACATCATGTTGTCGTAAAAATCTATGGGAAAGTTCAGCCCTATTTCCATCACTCCCAACTACAGTTTCACAATTATGTTGTTCCACTTGTGTTAAAGATATCGCACTACCTCTACTTTGATCAAGAAGAGGAGGTTTGTTAAGATCAACTGAAAGATCTTGTTCTAAGTTATCATTTTTAGTGTCATTTATTCCAACAGATGCTTCCACATTTGAGCATAGTGCTGTGTAAAAATCATCTTCTTTGGGCTTTATAAGGGTATTTCTAATGGGTGGAAGATTTGAATTACTTGATTCATTTGATATAGAAGAATTATTAGCAGTCTGAACAGAAGAATCCACTGAATTAGCCAAGGATTGCTGTACTACTGTAAGAATATTTCCTTTCTTAAGATCCTGGTCTAGATTTTTATTACTTATGTTTAACTTAGAGGACAGGAACATGTTCTTTTTTTCTTGAGGTTTTTTCTTTGTCTTCTGAATAGGACCATTTCTTTGTGCTGTGACATTTTGTGGTTCTGTATTGAAAAAAAAAATGGCTTTTATAATTTATTTGTCTATAGACATCTTCCTGAACACTTATTAAATATAATGATTCAACAATGATAGAAAAAGCATTCTATTTCTAAATAATAATAATAATAATAATAATAATAATAATAATAATAATAATAATAATAATAATAAATACTAAATTTTTAGATCCACAAATTATAGTAAAAAATGTAATTGTTGTTTCATGTTTGAGATATTTTGCCAAATGCAGTGAGAAAATAAGCATATCTGCACTTACTTATTTCATACATATACTGGCTTAACTCTAAGCTGGTTTAAGAAAATGCAGCCAGACTTTTGCTTTAGCAATAAGGTATTGCAAGGTATTCAGGGCAAACATTGGATATGTGCTGGGGCCTACCACTTTTCTGTTCCAGGAATGGCCAATTGCTTTCCTTCTGTGAATGGATCTTTTGAAAATATATATTTACATACTGCGTTTCTTATTCTGTATCTTGCACACACATACACAAACAATGCACACACACACACACACACACACACACACACATACATACACACACGTGTGAATACATAAAAGTAAAATTGGATAAAACAGATACATTTATATGACAAATACATATACAGGAAGAACAAGCAGTGTTAAAATAAAAAATGTTTTTTTCCACCCAGTACTTTAACCCTTAGCAGGTTTTACACTTCAAACATCACAGTAGATATTCTTTGTTTTGCATACAGAATGTTGCCAGTTTAAAATCTAACATAAATGTTTCTTTTTAAAAAACATTATTTTTTTCTCTTCCTGAGTCCTAGGAAGATTTTTCTCCTAATCTATTTTTATGTCTGAAATAAACCATTTTATCGTTTTTTTCAGTCAAGTGAGATAGTCCATTTGAAAACTGGTAAGTTTTTTTATATTAAGAAAACTTTTTATATTTAATTAAATTTAATTTATAGGAGAAATGATCGTACTATTAGATGAAGTATTTATATTTTTTCTAAATATGACAACAAAACAAAATAACTATGGAGGATTGCGTGTAAAATTACACATTTATAATTCTGCCAAATGATACATTGGTCACTGACCAAAATAAATAACTTCTAGTACTACTACAGTTCTGCCTCAAATCACCAAAGCAACACAGTTTTAAAATAGATATTCTTGCTATATCAGTGCCACAGGAAATGCCAGGGAAATGTGAAAAATCATAGACTATGATATATAATTCTACACTGCTATTTTTCTCTTTCTCTTTATAAGATATCCTTGCATACTGGGACTTTAATACATGGAACTGCTTCTGTCAGTGTTTCGTTAATCAGACACATGACAGCTTCATTTAGAAGCTTAAAGTAACTTTTAACTTTTAATTTGGTCATGTTTTCTCCTTTAGCTACAGTTAAGCTGACAATAGTCTATGTCCCCTCTCTCTCTGCCAAAGTAAGCAAGAAATCTATCTAAACAAAAATTCCATACATGTATAAAAAGCACAACTTGCAAAAGAATTTCTCACCAGATCCTCTAGTAATCTTTGCTACTCCTTGGAGCATTGGTGTTTTCCTTCCTTTTCCTTCTGCTTTTCTAATAGTTTCAGAGTCTGGATTTTCCAGCATATTTCTCTGGTTCATTTGTTGTCTTCTTGATAAAATTGACTTTGGGAAACCTATTAAGACATTGGTTTATTAAATCACTTGTTTTAGAAAGATTTAATATAGGGACAATCTTATATCAAAGTTTTATTAATTTAGAAATATATTATCCCTGCATTGGAACAATAAAAGTAGAAGCCTAAAGAGATTTCAATAATAAAGAATGCAAGATGCATTTGGAAAACACTGGGAAAGAAGAATATGCTTGATCTTCTTCCCCTGAGAAATATTTGGAGTTCATAGACAAAAACATACCAATTCTTTAGATCATCTTGTTATTAATCAGCCTTTTATGACATTTAAATTTGCAAGAAGAATTTGGATTGTACAAACAGCTGAATCACAATATAGTCAATTAAAAGATCTTTTATCAGGAATCCTAAATTATTAGTAATATTAGGTATATTCAATGGTGGGATTCAAATAATTTAACAACCGGTTCTCTGCCCTAATGATTTTAAGTATAAAAAACCAATATACTGAAAGTTAGTTTATTATTTGTATTTAATACTTAAATAAGAACAATAAAAGAGGTACACATAACTAGATTATGTTGCCGTGTTTTACCCAAAATAAGACTGGGTTTTATTTTATTTATTTTTTGACCAAAAGACCCATTAGATCTTATTTTGGGGGGATATCTTACATTACAGCAGGTGGCAAGCATGCGAGGACAGGGCAGGGCCTGCTTCAGCAGCAGCCCAAGGCCAAAGCGCCAGCAGAATGCCGGAGGGTCAGGGAGGGTCCTGAAGCAAGTCGGTGTCCTGTCTGCAGTGCCCATGCCAGTTGCCCCTTCCCTGCCAGAGCCAGAATGGCGCCAGTGTTTACCATAAATGCCAGTACGGGTAGATGCCAGCCTACCCTCTGGCAGGCCTGGGCAGTTGCTACAGAGCGATGCGCCCATTTCAGCACCTGGCGCCTTAGGGTATTTGCCCTTTCACTCCGCTTCCAAGCCAGACTGCTGGTGCATTCAGCCACCTGGCCCTCTTTGGAGCTCTGTCCACGCAGCCACCAAAGCGGCAGGTGGAGCACCCGTAGCCAGAAAGCGCCTGCTTTATAGCTCCGTCACATTTCTCTGCCACCGCAGAGCTGGAGAGTTTGCCTCACCTACCATCGCCCAGATGCCCTCCCTTTCCCAAAGCTTTTCTTTGCTAACCTTCTTTTGAGCTCTGACATGTTCCTCCGCTGCCGTGGACAGTCCCACAAACAAAACAAGTTTGACAAAGTGGATCCTGGGCTGCAATATGTGCTGCAATGGAGAGACGGAAAGTGGAGCAGCCGGTACGAGGGAAGGAGGAGTGGGGAGAAGAGGAAAAGTGGCTGAGTAAGAAGTGGGGCCATCCCAGCTGGCCAGGCACTGAAGCGCCAATGAAAACAGCAGAGTCTGTGTGTGCGCCTGCTACATGCTCGCCCCATGTCAGCCATGCTCTCCATGCCTCGGATCAGCTACAGCACACTGTGGAGAGTATGGTTAACGCAGGACGAGTATGTGGCAGGCAGGCACACGGACTCCACTGTTTTCGGTGGCACTTCTCACTCAGCCACTTTTCCTCTTTCTTCTCACCGCTCCTCCTTCCCTCGCGCTGGCTCGTCTACTTTCCATCTCTCCATTGCAGCACACATTGCAGCCTGGGATCCACTTTGGCAGTGGCAGGATTTGGGAGATGGTGAATCCCCCGTCCACTGACCAATTGCCATGCCGCCTCTTGGGAGGGCACCGAAAAAAGCAGAGTCCATGTGCGCATCAGCCTTGCATCCACTATGGTCTCCACAGTATGATGCAGCCGATCCTAGGCGGCCAACCAGGCACTGAAGTGCTACCGAAAACACCTGAGTCTATGTGCGTGCCTGTTACACATTCACCCATCAGCCGTGCTCTCCATGTCTCGGATCAGCTGCAGCACCATGGAGAGCATGGTGGACGCGGGGTGAGCATGAGGCAGGCACGCACATGGACTCTGCTTTTTTCGGTGCCCTCCCAAGAGGGCTTAAGTAAGAGCTTAAATGGACTCCAGAAGATGGTAGAGGACAGGAAGCCTGGAGGAACGTTGTCCATGGGGTCGCGATGGGTCAAACATGACTTTGCAACTAACAACTTTTTTTTTTAGTCCCACAAACTTTTGTTTCTGGGACTGCACATGGCGGCAGAGGAAGTGACAGGGGAGCTGGAAAGAAGGTTAGAAAAGAAATGGTTTGGGAAGCAAGGGCATCTGGGCGGTGGTGGATAGGGCAAGATCTCCAACTCTGCGGTGGCAGAGAAATGCTTTCCAGCTCCGGCGCTCTAACTGCTGCTTTGGTGGCTCTGTGGGAAGAGCTGTGAAGAGGGCGTGGAAGGGGAGTGAAAGGAAAGAGGATGGGTGGACAGGTCAGGGGGGATTTGCCGAAGCCATCCGGAGAAGACGAAAAGCAGCCCCTGCCTCACCTGCTGCAGTTCAGAGAAGCCACCTCTGAGCTGGCCGGCCGGCTGGCCAACAGCTGAGGAGGCGCTGCAGTGAGTTGTGCCCGGGAAAAGGAGAGCATGTGAGGCTGGGATGGGGGGGTAGGGAAACCAGCCATGTTAGGAGGTATCCAGCCATGTGGGACTTTGGCGAGTTAGCAGGTGGCTGATTGAAGAGAGGGATGGTTGCGGTTCTGCCTGCTTTATTACATGGCAGGCTATTAGTAGGCAGCCCGCTCCATTTCATTAAAAAGGAAGAAGGCAGGTATCAAATGGCGACTTATTATTTTTTCTCCAACTGCCTGTGTCCAGTGTTAGAACTGATAGCTTTCAGGGAGACTGTGTGGTCGAGGAAGGTACCACTTGTAATCAAAAACGTAAGAGGTGCTGCCCTGCATCATGGCAAACCAGCCATAGAGCCCCATCGATGTGGGTGGAGACAGTCCTGGGACAGCCAGAAGGGGGCCCTCGCCCAGCCCAGGCCCTGTCTTCTGGCAAGTCTGATGGGGGCAACAGCAGCAGCTGCTGCTGCTCTGAGCCTCTTACCCCGCCAGCCATGCAGAGAAGCAGGAGGTGGTGGCGGCAATCCCTGCATCGCCTGACCTGACTGGCAGCAGCTCTGGAAGCAAAGCTGTCCCGCCCATCCTTGAGCTGGTGGGGACAGTGGCTGGTAGGGTCCCAGCAGATGCTGTGCTGCAGAAGGAAGATGGCATGGTGTCAGCTGGGCCTGGCGATGCAGGGATCGCTGCCACCTCCTCCTGCTTCTCTGCGTGGCCGGCAGATGGTGCGCTGCGATGACTGGACATCACATGGGGCTGGGAAGTAGGCGGCGGCAGCGGCGATCCCTGCATCACCAGGCCCGGCCAGCAGCATGCTGTCTCCCTTCTGCAGCGCAGCATCTGCCAGGATGGTGGTGGCGAGGGGCCGTGGGATGATGTGGAGCGGAAGCAGAGAGGGAGTGGGTGCGCGCCAGAGCCCGCCTTCCCCCGTCCCCACCAGTGCAAGGATGAATGGCACAGCTTCACTTTCGGAGCTGCTGCTGGCCAGGCCTGGCGATGCAGGGATCACTGCCACCTCCTGCTTCCCTGTGTGGCCGGCTGGTTGAGGGGCTCAGAGTAGCAGCTGCCGCCCCCATCAGAACTGCTGAGCAGACAGGGCACAGGTCAGGCAAGGGCCCACTTTCGGCTGTCCCGGGGCTGTTTCCACCCATGCCGATGGCGCTGCACTGAGTAAGGGAGACAGCGGCTGCTGTGATTCCTCCCCTGCTGGCAGCTCCCCCTCCAGCCCCCTGCCCAGCACCCCTTTTATGCAATCCTACCTGACTGCGGTGTGGATGACAGGCTCAGCCAGTGGGGGCGCGGTTTTCCCTGACACAGGCATCCCAGCACTCCTGCTCTCCCTAGCCGGACCCCCTCATCTTCCTCCAGCCAAGACCTGCTGACTCTCCACCCTCCTGCACCCACCCCATTCCGAGACTCCTGCAGCCCCCCCATATCTCCTGCCCTCCTCAGCTGGGACCTCCAGCAATTCCGTAACCAAGAGCTCCTACCCCCCCACCTGCTGGGACCTCCTGCCCCCATTCCAGCCGACCCCCCCGAGCAGCCCACCCCAACCAAGGTGGAGAGAAGGCGAGGCAGAGAATTGGTTGTTAAATTATTTGAAACCCACCACTGCCCACAACCATGTCAAGGAAGTACCTCACTGGAGATTATTATTATTACTATTACTATTATTATTAAATATAAATATTAAGCACATATTATATCTGATGTTATGCTTTCAATAGCATAGCTTAATAAAATTTATCAAATAAACTATTTTCTGGATTCATTCATGACATTTCTTTTTCTCTTTTTTATATATATTAACCAAAATCTAAACACCAGTAAAATATACCTCTGTACGTGTTGAGAAGAAGTGTAATTCTGAAGTCATACTTCGTGAATTTTCTCATATATTTTATTTGAAGCATGATTTATGCAATTTATATGCCTACTTGGAATATTATAAATTATACTGTAAAGATTTCATTGAGATTTGCCTCCAGGTCTTAGATATATTTTATCTTAAATAATTATCTAAGGCAACAGGTATTTTTCTTTTTGTTATTGTACTAAATCAAAACTCTGTTACAAGCTAAAAAGAAGGCTGAAAATACATAGTGAAACATGACATCACATTGTTATAAATTCAGGCCTCTTTCAACACTTAACTTGCTGGGGCTGAACAGTTCAGATTTTTAATGAATCCATATTAATTATCAAACAAGATTATATTTGATGTTAATATTAAACCCTATAAACATTCAAGCAGTTTAACAAAGAATATTCAAGACTAATGGCATACAAAGGAACACATAAAAAACTGTCTTTGGGCAATTGGCATATTATTCAATTCCTTGAGAGAAAGATGAAGCAAAACTTTGAGGTGGGGAATGTATGTGGTGGAGGGGGGGAGAGGTTAATTGAACTGATTGCCTTTACAGTGTATAGTTATAGAAGGAAATGGCAGAAAGATAAAAATCCTTGCTCTGAAAAACTTAGAATCTTTGGACTTTTGCCATAAAAAAAGGAAAAT